ATCTCTATGATTGAAAATAATTGTGCAACTAGATTTGTCGTTAGTTAATTAACATATATCATTAGTGATTAGGTTCATTCATAAGGGTGAAATAGGTTCATTTGAAATCTTCATTTCTAATCATAAATTTTTTTATCAAAAGAAACTTTAAGAAAGACCCAGTGTCCTAGGTTTTATCTTAAATTCCTTAGTGTATGTTTTGGTCGTAGATGGATATTTACCACATGTTTATTACATGCTTTTAAAAACAACTATTTTGTGTTTTGTTTGTTGGTTATAAAACAAATACAAAGACTTGAAATCTAACATCAAATTGAACGCTTATTTTAGAATTAAGTACTTATAAGCCACATGCACATGAACTTAGGTATAAGGATCTTATTAGTTAAACATATTTGATTCGGTCAAAGTAACTCGTTTTTTTAATGATAATAATAAAAAATAATTGATCGCCTTTAAAATTTTTGGCACTATGTAAGCAATTTGCTTATCTAGAACTTCATATTTGATCATCTTGAAATAAAATATACATTTTTTTTTCAATTAGATGGTGTTCATCCGGCAGTTCTCCACCGAAACTAGTTCAAACAAAATCTTCAGCGTAAGCTAACGAATGTGTATAAAAGTTGACTAAATACTAGTTTTAATCTACCAAAATATATATAATATTAAATTAGTCATTCAATTGATGTTTTCTTTAAATAATACTTATATCAATCTACCGAGATATATAATCAAATTAAATTGTTGTTTTAAATATTAAATTAATCTACAACTCTTAATGGACCATTTAATTATAATTAATGTCATGAATATCTTTAAGTAATTAATTTAAATATATTTTCTTGAAAGTTTACTCCTATGGAAAGAGAGTTTTTTTCTTATTTAGTACCCTTCTTTTCAAACGCTTCCATAAATTGTATATTTATGGGATTGGTTCATGAGAGTGTGATTGTTTAATCAGTAGAAATTTGGGTAATGTCAAACCCTAAAAAGAGAGTCAAAGGCATCCCTGCATAACGCCTTGATAATGACACAGATCGCAGAAGCTACACTGACAATAATGTTTACTGTATGAGCTAAGCATCCACCAAAGAAATTTCCTCATTCTCTTTTGTATTAATTAGTCTTTTTGATGGCTTGATAAAACCAAAAGTTGCTGTTGCTTTTTGAAATTTCTTTTCACATTTTTTTCTTTTAATTGTATGACCTTTTTTATCTTCTGAAAAATTGATTTTAAAATATATCAAATACTCTTTCAAAAAAATAATTTTTAAAAAATCATAAACCACCTTCTGAAATTAATATTTCAGAAAGGAGGTATATGAAGAAATTACCAGTTTCTTTCATTTGGAACAGTCTCAAAGGAGAGTAGTAATTATTCATATTGACTACACAATATCTGCACCCAACCTGGTCCTACTTCAAACTGTAACCCAGGTTTGATAGATCGATGACTATTCAAAATTATAGAAAATCACAAATTCAGAAAAGGGTATAATTTACTAGACAAAAGAAATTATATTATATACTCTTCCTGTGTGGTATTTGTGGCTGGTCCTGTATAAGAAAGAAAATTGAAAGCAAGAGTTTGAGAAAAGATGAAAGGATACAAGCTATCAAAAGGTTGCTTTTCTTTTTATTTGGATAAAAGCTAATTGGGTGAAGATCAAAAGGACAATATAATCATAATATGGTATGCGTTCGGATGAAGGAAGGGATATATGTATATATATAAATACAAACAAAGAACAAAAAGCAAAGCAAAGTGGGAACCAGTAGCTTTCATCCTCAAAATCTGGTTTCTTTTCCATCAAGATTTTTTTTAAAATGGAATCTTCTTGTCCTCACTTTTTGGGTACATAATTGGATTTAATGGTAAATTAAAACTAGAACAAGATAAATCAACTGGGTAGGTTTTTGGAACAAAATTAGCTGGACAAGTTAAACATATGTGTTACAGGATATTGTTTCACAGAGAAAGGCAACATATTTTACTGTTTAATAACTTTTTATAACATATAAGAGTCATGAATTAAACTATTTAATATTTTATATTATTTTATAATTATATATATATATATATATATATATTAAATTTTATATAATTTAGATGTTTATAAGTATGATATATAAAATTTGATATATAATTTTTATGTTATAAAAATATATTATCATTAAAATAAAGTAATACAATGAAGTGTCTATTAATTTTATTTTTATATAAAATTTTATAAAATTGATTTATTTAATAAAAATATTTAAATTAACAGTTGAATTTTATATTTTATAAAAATTTATTAAATAATGTAGATATGAAAGTTTGATACTTGATGTTAATAAATATTTTTTTTTATATTGTTGGTAAAATGTTTTCCTATTTTGACATATTGTATATTATTGTGTTGCTTAAGTTTGATATTTTAATGTTTTTAAAGTGATATTTTACAATATTAGCCATATGTCAAATAGAATAGGCAATCTTAGTCTCAGATAAAAGTTTTAAATATTTATTATTTCATCGTATAAAATTTCATTCTATTACACTTTATATTCACGATTTCAATTTGTATAGTTTGATTTTTTATAGGACAGAAAATTGAAGTAAATAATCAAATAAAAAGAAAAATATCTATTCTCCAATATTAAAACATAGAATAATACAAATATAGTTATTTAAAAGATAAACTGACGTAGAATATATGTTAAGTAGTTTATAATAAATTTAAATCCATAAAGGTAACTTGGGTAAAAATTACAGATACCATAGGAAGTGAGTTGGGTGTTTTTTTTAAGCTTCTTGAATTGGGCAGAGCTGAATTGACTACTTTTTTGTTATTAATCCGAATCTACGCAACTTGATCATTGTTAAAATTTGATGATTTAATTGACTTTATTAAGAAAAAATTCATTGAAACGTATTTCATTTCAATTTTTTGTTGTTTTTGGGTCATGAACATATGTCATTTCTTCTTCTTCTTCTTCTTCTTTTTTGTCAGAAACATATTTCATTTCGAAAAACGTTCTAATCAATCACTTTTTAAATACTAACAGTTTTAGTTTTGGTCCATTTGGAAATAATGGGCATTTTGGTATTGATTCAATATTCAATTATACAGCCCAATAGTTAAAGTTGAGCCAAACACTCGACAATAAAAAAGGATGACCCCCCAAAAAGTTAATGGTAATTTTACAAAACAAAAATCTACAAAAATGCGATTGGATAATTTATTCTCAAAATAAATTTCAAAATTAGAGAGCAAAAAAACTGTTCCTGTAAAATATTGGGAAAATAATGTTAAAAAAATGTTTGACATTTTTTAAAAAAATTGTTCTTTAATTTTATATTATACTAATATTAAATACTCGAATCTAATTGCATTGTCATAATGTGAAAAAAAAATGAATTCGTAATGCATTATTACATCCTAGCTCATAATTGCTTTTTCACATAAGTTTTTATTCTGTTTTATACAATATATTGAGGAAGTGCTCATCATGAATATTTTATAGCCAAACGATCGTGAAGATGGAACATAACAGTTTGGTTATTTACATACTGCTAAATCTGTGGTTCTCAGTCGTAAAAACGCTCACAAAATTCATGTAAAATTCTTTTGATGTTATTTTTAAATTAAAATTAGAAGTTTTACTTCCTAACTCGCCACAACCTTAAAAAATAGCGCAAAAAACACTTATCATATCACACTGCACCTAAATTTTATCTTTATATAAAAATATTTCAAATAAACATGTCATATTTTTTAAGCAAATGAAGTCTCTTCAGAGACCTTAGATAATAGAGTCAGAAACATTTCTCTATAAACAAACAGCATCCTTAAAGTTGTTAACAAGAGTCTAACGATTTTTGAGTGGACAAATGATAAAGTTTCTATGAACGCCAGCATATAGCTTTGCTCAAGGCAATTATCATGAAAATGCAATGTCACCTTGCAGACGAAATGATGAAACATCGAAGATAACTATTGCACAAAAAATGTGTGTACACAGTTCTGTTCCTTTCGATTGAAATTAATGGAAAACATTTTTCTAATGATGTTTTTGCCATAAAGCTTGAAGTGTCAGTTCCTTTTACAATTTCATTGATAGCATCTCTCAAAAGAATTAACCAAGGATTAAAGTGCAGGCAAAGTTAGCAGAGCCATAGCTCTTGTCATTACACCAAGGATTAAATCACTATCCAAGAAGTATATCAGTGATGTTACTTTGAAAAATGTTACCTAGAACTGACGTTAACATTTTCCCTTTATTATTAGATTATAAAAATTACGTGTAAGGAAATTAATTCTTATTTAAAAAACAGATATGATCATACCATCATGAACACTAAAGTCTTCTGACGATAATCGAGATGTTTATTTTTGTTTTTTTTAATTAGATAAAACTCAATATTTTATTTTTCAGTAAAAATTTTCAGATATAATATGCATTTTTATTTTGTTTTAAAATTTTAAACACAGGACTGGAGTTGGTGACTTTTTACAGGATGTGAGGATTGAACCCCAAAGCATATCGTTCTTAGACAAGGTCTTAGTTTTTCTTAAGCAAGATTACTCCGAGTCTTGAGTATGAGGAAAAGAACATTCAGCACTTAAAATTTTTAACTTTCAACTTCCAACTTTTATTTCAATCCAAATAGCCAATGTTTCAACTAGCTATTCAATTTGCAATTCACTTAAGATCAAAGAGGGACATGATTTGTACTAACGATGGATTTGTTCATGAACTTAATGATATGGAACTTGTCGTTGAGCTATGTTTCTTTAAACTGGGCAAAAATGAACATAATTGTGAGGTATCGACTTAAAAAACTTTCACGGCCTCTGATGCAACAAATGACAGATAGAAACGATACTATATCGTGAGTGCGTGATCCGATCAAATCTCTTTAAAGGGTGGGGCTTGCTACATTTGCAACCTTTGGTGGCCAATTCCATTCACATTGACAATTATGCAAAGATTATCTGAAATTGGTATAGAATCAAGCTAGATGCTATGTAGCCATAAAAGTTGAAGCAGGAGCAATTATAGTAGCATGCCAGGTAGAATCGGTGTCCCTTTCTGAACTAATTACACTAGACTAACCAATATGGATATTAAATAATTGCTAATTATGACTGCCATTCTTGGCACTAGACATGCACTTGTTGAGAATCAGTCTATAGTCTTTTCCTTCCATACAGACAATTACACAGATAAGAGAAAAACAACGCAAATCCCAAGGGAACAAAAATTTCCATCAACAAAGAAAAATAGTTACACATTCCAAATTCTACCAGACAAGACTATTAATTAGTTAGCTCCATAATGGCAGCAACAATGTCACCATTGGCTGCTTTGAGAGCTTTAACAGCTCTTGATCTTGCCACACCAGCTTGAGTCATCACCAACTCTATATCCTTGGGATCTACACCTGTCTCGTCCACATCCTCATCATCTTGAGCAATAGCAGAAGATTCTGGCTTCATTCCCACATTACTCAAATTAGGAGCCTTGAACTGCTCCGCTGCTTGAGTTTGTAGCTGTGAGCTTAAGTCTTCGATCTTAGCTTCCCCAAATATAATGTAGGTGTCAGAAGTTGGGCTCTTAAAAACATCTGGTTTAGAGATAACGAACAGGATCTAACCAAACAAAAGTCCAAAAGTTAAAATTTTGATAAAATCCCAATGGAAAAAAATAGTTATAAAGAAATAGAGTTTAAATGCTAACATTCTTGCTCTTCTTGACTGTCACACGACTGACACCTGTGACAGGTTTCATTCCAAGTTTAAGCATTGCCTTGCGGCTCTTCTTTTCACTTCTGGTCTGCTTGGACCTACCAGATGCATCACCTTCTTGACCTGCAATAGAATACAAACTGCTCTGAGGCTGAATCATATACAGAACCGAGGCTCATCCACAATCACTATGCATTTTCAGTTTCATTCTGATACAGATTAAACTCGACTGCTAATTTTACCCAACCTATTTATGACATTAGCATGATTTATTATGACTAGCAACTGAGGTATAAGCACAGAACAACAACGTAATAAAGCTAGGATAAGGCACAAGACACAAATATTTTGACTCGGAGAAGCATATGCAACAAATTTAAAAATCATAGGACAGAAAATGGGTATAATACAGAAAATAAAAATAACATAATATAAATATTAAATCAAACGGGAGATTTGATGTTTTAAAAATGAACATCAGTCATTGTAGACATAATCAAATGCTACTATTTAACTAAGTATTGCAATATAAATTTAACATTTGATATTGGTTTGCTACAGAAGTTTTAAAAATTTTAGAATGCAGCCATGATTATTCAAAGTGTCAGACACAAGTACAACACAACAGGACCACTATTTTCAACTGTCTATGCTTACTTGAAAACAACAGCGCATATAAAATATGCAATTATTGATGAAATTTCAGTTTTACTTTAATTTGCATCATTAAATCATGTGAACAACCGGACTAGTAGTACTGATGGTAATTTCTGAATCTAAATGAATTAAAGTATAAGTTCAAAATCCTGTTATTGAAACCTAAGTTCAAGTTTTGAAAAAAAACAAAAACTTTGAAAACCATGATGATAAACACCTTTTATGAGAAGACCACAAAAAATGAAAATGAAATTGCAATTAAAACACACTGGCCAAAATTTGGAAGGACTCATTTCTCAACTTGGAATTAAATGCAATAGGTCACTTGTAGAACAAGATAAGCCAAATTTATCTCATCAACCACATACATCATTTTTACTTTACACCAATTCCAACCAAATTGCAGGACGAGTATCACTAAACCTTTGCCAAATGCAAGCAAACAACAATCAATCCTTCAGTTAATCTCATATGTCAACTTACCATCAGCATTATCATCTCTGTCATCATCCTCATCATCATCATCGTCCTCCTCCTCCTCCTCATCATCATCTTCAACTACAGGCTCGTCATGCTACAAAGACACGTTATTTAAAAACATCAAACTACTAAAAAAACATAGCAAGTACCAGGTCATTACATAAGGAGTAAAACAGTTGATCGGCAACCACATTTTAACTGATCCATGGAAATCACGAGAAATATTTAACAGTATCAATAAACTAAGGCTATGAAAAAAATAAAAACCAAATTCAGAGACACAGCGTCTACCTGTTAGTTTTAAATCTTAACTGTACTTCCAGGACAGCGGTCAAGCATTTTTTTTCACTTGAAAAATACACTCTTATCTATCATATAAATTCCTCCAGAAACCTTTCAATTGAATGCATAAGTTCAAGCTTTGAACCAATTGAAAACCTACAAATTTACACTCTCTTCCGCATCTCAAGTTACTAATTACCCAAAACCCTTATGAACAATCATTAATCAGACACTTATTACGAAATTAAAAAAGAAAAAAAGGGATTAAACACAGGAAGCAAACTGCATAGAAAATACAAAGAGAATTCTAAACCACTTGAAATTAAAATTAAGAAAACAGAAAGAAAAAGAAGAGAATACAAATACATGGATCTTTTGTTGTTCGAGGTGTTGCGCGAGAAGCTCTTCCTGGGTCTCAGCAGTCATTGATTTGTGGGTGCTATGTATGCTGTCACAAATGGGTTCTATGTGTGGTTCAGTGGATCCAACAACCTAAAACCCTAGAACTTCAACTCACGCCTTTATACATCCTTAATTCGGGTCGACCCACCCGTTGCTTCCGGGTCTCGTCCCTTTCTTTCGGTGCAGTTAGTACGGAAGCAAGCCTAATTATACCTTTGTTTTTGGTTTGTTCCTACTCATAAATTAAAAAGTGCATGCAGGAAAAAAAAAATCTGATAATTCACACAGGTTTTTATAAGTAGGTGATAGGGTGTTTTTTTCAAAATAGACCGATCAAAATCTGATAATAATGGAACAAAATTGAGTTAATTTAATTTACAAGTAAAATATATCAATCTTAACATTATACACAGTTAAATTATCAATTAAACATAACTTAAACTAAGAAGATAAATAACGTAATTATGATTTTTATTTGTTATAATTTTGTTGATATCTAAAGAATTGAGATTTTTTTTATAGTAATAATTAAATACAGTATTCTTGAATTGATATAGTCAAAAATTATAGTTGCAAGATTTTTCTCAATTATTCTTTTGAGATATTAAGATCCTTGAGAAGAATAATAATTTGATTTTCGAATTTTAAAGTAAGTGAAGGAATTAATTTATGCAAATGCACTCTTTAGTGGAATTTGTTTAAAATGTTCTTCGGCCTAAGCACTTACAAAAAAATTATATTAACTTCATTCCAAGTTCAACAAAATGAATTAGGACATCGAGTAAAAGACGAAATTTTATCTTACTCTACTCTTTGGGTTTAAGACTTCATAGGTGACTCATAATTTTATGCATGAACACATTCATTTCTAGAAAAGGATTAAGTAATCAGAGCTCTAGTGGTGGAAGTAGAAACAATTATAGTAGCATTGTCTAGCAGAACCTATTTCCTTGTATGGTGTCTTTCTTGATGTTCATTTAAATATAGCAGAAATGGAGCAGATAGAAGCAGCGCCTCATCAACGTTAGCTAACCCTGATAATAGCCATCATATTGGGTATTTTGTGTGACTTTTCAACTAAATTTGCCGAATATTCTTTAATTCTTCCCTTGCTGATGATGTCTACTTGATGAGAAACATTCCGTTGATTCAAAGATGTCAAGGAAAATATTTTATGATAACTAAAACACACACCCTTTGGATAAACTCAGAAGGATTTTTGTTTGTGTAAATGATTTAACTATCTTAACCAAAGGATTAAAATTTTCAGTTGGTAGTCAACCTTAACTTCCCATAGCTCATGGGTTGACCTAAGCAACGTAATTTTTCTGAACAAGAAGTTTGGAAGTATCATGAAAACTTTTAACCATCTCTTCCTTGCCGCCTACTTAAGGTGAGAAGGAAAACTTCTCACACTTGCTCCCCATGCGTTGGTTAAAAAAATACAAACCTTATTTGTAAACCATATAACAATCAAACATTATCCTACTTAATAAAGTTAATTACATAACTTCTTAAATTCTGTTAAAAACTAAATTTTCAAAAATATTATTAATAAAATATCTCTTTTAATAACTTCTAAAATTTTTCTATTTTTCTTCTACTCATTTTTGTCAGACTAAAAATTGTTATCTACTTTTTATTGGTATCTACAAAAGTTTTCTCACCTAACTCACTCACTTTAAACAATTTTTAATTATCTTTTTCACTATTATAATAAATAATTATACTGTAATATATTAAAACTTTCCTTTCAACTTAAAAATAAATAACATCTTTATTAACTTTCTCATTATTCTACAAAATTAATTAAAAGTACCCGAACTTAAAATTTGTGATATAACATCATTTTAAATCCTAACTTTAAATGCATAATTCTCATCTTACATATGCTTATGCGAAAAACAACCATATCACAAATAAATACTGAAATTTTTCTCCCCTATAACTACCCAACTTGTATTCTGAATAATATCTAGATTAATCTCTCCATCATTTTGGAGAAACCAGTCCCAAGTTCCTGAACTTGTAATTAAGTAGTATCATATCATCTCAAATTTTAACTTCAACACATGATTCTCACCTTATTTGTAAACCATAAATATTGGATAACTGCTGATTATGACTGCCATTCTTGACATTAAACGTACATTTGTTGACAATGAGTCTATAGTCTTTTCCTTCTGTGCGGAAGATTGAACCGAGAAAATAGAAAGCAAAGGTAAGTATCCGCAAACCACTTTCAAACCAAAGAAGAGCAAAAATTTTGGTCAACAAAGAAAAATAGCTCCACATTGCAAATTCTAAAATTCTAGTAAATCTGATCATCAATTAGTTAGCTCCATAATGGCAGCAACAATGTCACCATTGGCAGCTTTGAGCGCTTTAACGGCTTTTGATCTTGACACACCAGCTTGAGTCATCACCAACTCTATATCCTTGTGATCTACACCAGTCTCGTCCACATCCTCATCATCTTGAGTAATACCAGAGGATTCTGGCTTCAATCCCACATTACTTACATTAGGGGCCTTGAACTGCTCTGCTGCCTGAGTTTGTAGCTGTGAGCTCAAGTCTTCAATCTTGGCTTCCCCAAATATAATGTATGTGTCAGACGTTGGGCTCTTGAAAACATCTGGTTTTGAGATGACGAACAGGATCTAAACAAACAAAAGTTCAAAAATTCAATTTTGACCAATACAAAAATGAGGCAATGAAAAAGGCAGTCAAAATAAATATATATGTCAAATGCTAACATTCTTGCTCTTCTTGACTGTCACACGACTGACACCTGTGACAGGTTTCATTCCAAGTTTAAGCATAGCCTTGCGACTCTTCTTTTCACTTCTGGTCTGTTTGGACCTACCAGATGCATCACCTTCTTGACCTGCAATAGAATACAAATTGCTCTGAGAGTGAGAATTGTATCCATTATAATAGCTTCAATTCAGGTACAAATAAATAAATAAGTAGTATTCGCTCAGTTTTACAGATCAGAGGCCCATTCACAACCTACATGCTTTTTCATTTTTATTCTAACACAAATTAAACTGGCATGATTTATCATAACACTCTACTCATTATCGGTAAAAAATTAAAATTTTTACACAAAAAAAAAAAATTGAACAAATGCGTGAAAGAATTATCGCCTTGTTAAAGAAGGCCCCAAAATTAAGACAATGAAATTGAAAAATGACCAAAATTTCCAAGAGCCAATGACTTGTTTTGAAAAAAATAAAATAGATCACTACTAGGAAAAAAGAAGAAGCTAGCCATATTAATCATATTGACCATATACAGACTGATGCTTCACACTAATCCCCACCAAATGATTGAAATGCTACTAAACATTTGCCAAACGCAAGAATGAAAATGGATATGTCATCCAGCCAACTTACCTTCAGCATTGTCATCTTTGTCATCATCCTCATCTTCATCATCGTCTTCCTCATCATCATCATCATCCTCAACTACAGGCTCATCATCCTACAAAAGATATTATTCAAAAGTTCAAAATACTAGAAAAAAATGCAAATTCTTGGCCATCAAATACGGAGTAAAAAAGTCGTTCTTCCTTAGTAATCATGAGAAAATACGTAGTTGTAATAATAACCTAAGGTTGTTAAGACTTTTCATCTACAAGTCAAAACCAAGTGTTCATTCTTTTTATGCTAAGTTGATCTCCTATCTCTGATTGAAAAATCACACACATCTTTTTCACATAAATTGCTAGAACATTCAAATCCACAGAAACCTTTTAACTAACAGCATAGAAAATGTTCAAATTTGAATCAATCAAAACCTCGTAATTTTCACCCTCCGGAATCTCAATTTTCCCAATACTAATCGAAGCAGTAGAGTTATACTAGTAGTAAGTCTAATTAACAATCAAGAGTCAGTCACTGAATTCGAAAAAGGTTGAGATCAAGCACAGCATGCAACTGTTTACAAATCCCTAAACATTGCACAGAATCAAACAATACTGAATTAATTTTAAATCCAATCCTAAACCACTTCAAAATGAAAATTAAAAGGGAAAAGAAAAAGGAGAGAATGAAGAAGTGGAATACATGGATCTTATGCTGTTCGAGGTGTTGGGCAAGAAGCTCTTCTTGGGTCACAGCAGTCATAGCGATTCTTCGGTGCTGTGTCACAGATGAATTCTGCTGCAGTGGGTACAACACGACCAACAACCTAAAACCCTAGAACTATGCTTTTGAATTTTATAGTTCCAATTCGGGTTGACCCGAATAGAACCCCGTTGCTACCGGTTCCCGTCCCTTTCTTTCAAAGGATGCGTCGTCTTACAATTCTTACCACGTGCCACGTCATATAAAAAAAAAGCCATTGTTCTCACGGGCGTCGTTCTTAGTTATTACACGTGGATATTCAATTTTCATGAAATTGCAATGTGATTTTTTCAATTCTGTGAAAAAGATGAGAGGAGACGAGATAATCAGTAAGGGATGATGATCAAAGTTCCGCTCATCAGAAATTTTGCCTAGCAAAGTCACAAGCTGGATTCTTTTTACTTTAGTATGATTATATTTATACTGATTATGTTATTTCAATTTTTTATTTATAACAAACATTATAAATTTATTTAATTTTAGATAGATGTCTTATTTAATCTATTGAACTTGTAACTCATTGATTCCATATCCTTAATGAGTTGATAACCAACAAGTTTATTAACATAACTCTTGTGTATATATTAGAATTTGTGTTCTTATTATATTCCAATCCTAATTAATCCTGTATTACAATAAACGTCCTACCTCGTAATTTTTTAAATAATTTTGCTAATTCCTAATATTTTTATTCAAAAACATATTAGAAATATCTCTTACCACATTTTAAACATGGGCAACACAATTTAACAAATTTTTAAAATGTTGAATCTCGATTAGAATCTCAAACATGATTAATGCTGAATGTAAAGTCAGGAACCACCTATAATAACTACCCTGCATTCAAGATATGGCACTAAAATTAGAGATAAAATCAGTAACTTCACCAAATGGAAACTCTCATGCGGTTAGAACTATCTGTTAGAAACCATTTCCATGAATTAGGACAGATAATTGCTCTTTTTCCAAATCAACCGCTGTTTGTTGGCTCCCATAGCCACTAATCATAACGCAAAGCCAGTT